TGGGGTTAGGGTTAGGGTTAGGGTTAGGGTTAGGGTTAACCTACGGGAGCTTCAGTCACAAACGAAAACTTGGGAGGCGTAGTATGTGCATGAAGAAGATTTTGTTGGGGTGGCGGTTTGTTGCCGCTTTTCCTTTTAGGGTTAGGGCGTTGGGGGGGTGGGGGGGGGGGGTTCTAAAGAGACATGAAAGATGGGGCGAAAAACAAAAAGTTTGCGGATTACCATGGACTTATTCCCCGCGTTTCCTTACACAAAAACTTTGGGAAGGCGTGGGAGAAATTTGGCGCGTTTAGTGAGCGCTTATTATCGCTTCATTTCGTGCAGGCGTTATGGGTGAACTTCCAAAAGAGGCAATATAAGCGGGCAATGAATAACAGAATTAATAATACGATGCGGACTACGATAGCGTATCTCCCCCCCAAAAAAAACATATGTATGATCGGGACTATCTATGGTTGGAGTAAATCTCTGCCTTTCGTTCTGACCCCACAGTTGCGAGGGTGTTCATGAGAAGGGGCGGCCGCTAACTTGGCCTGGTCATGAAATCCTCTCAATTCGGGGTGGGTGTGTGTGACTATCCCGGTCATCAGTCCAGGAGGGAGGGCCATGCAGATGGTACTCCTCCGCCACAAACCTGGTGCGTGAATTTGTTACTGCCAGCGAAGACGACCATACAGCTTCTCGCATCGCTGGGATTTACGTGAAAAAATCTGTCGTTGCCGCGGGAATATAGCTGCCGGTTCGCAACCCCATGCGTAGGATTCGCGAGTCTGATACTGCCAGCGCAGATCCTCGCAACGCAGGGATGCGCGAATCTGCAACTGGTAACGGAGATGAACATTAACGCGCTTTCGCAACAGTGGGATTTTCTTGCAAACCTGTCGTCGACAAGGCAGGTAAGCCAATGGTTCCCAACGCTTGGATGTAAAATGCGCAAGTCTGTCTTGCCGCAATTTTTTTTCATTTTTTTTTCTGCGATGGTGTTATTCTCATGTTCGAGTTCGTCACCTTCGCCACCATGGCGTCGTCCATGCCCGCCGCCAAGGAAGTTAGCCCGTGGTGGTTGGCCACCTGCGTCGTCGTCGTCGTCGTCATAAAAATTTTGAAAAAAAAAAAAAAACATCATGTTCGGGTGATGCGGTCTAATCGTTGACATGAAAGCCGAAGTAGCGTGTGTGTGCATACACACGGGGAAATCGCTTCACGTGTGCGTGTGTGTTTTTACTATTAGCATTGACCGCGCCAACCGGCGGACCAATGAAAAGATGCCATTCGTCTCATAGCGGGATAAGAAAACGCGAACACGCTTCCGAATCCAAGGGTATCTAAGGGCTCTACCGACAGAGGGGGGGGGCACAGGAATTGTCCTGCTTCCCAAGCATAAGGATTAGACTCCTTGCCACCAGGCAGCATGTGGATGTTTCTCTTAACAGCATCGGCCGCGCTAGCCGGCTGACCAATGAAAAGACGTCAGTCTCAGTGCGGCTGAAAACACAAAATAAAGGTCACAATCTGGGACGCTGTGAGGGAGCGTCATGAGAAAATCTATATTACAATTGTACTCTACGGAGTAAAAACTCACGTACTAGCGTGTTTGGTTTCCCTTAAAAAAGGACAACTCGTTTTCACTGTGTTCAATCTTAGCGTACATGGTATATCACGAAAAAACAAAGTATGTTTGGTGATTTTTACATAGATAGCCCGTTACCTTGATGGCGATGGAGTAGGACTTCTCGAGGTGCAGGAGAGAGGACAGGTCCATCGCACGCTCAGGCTTCTCCGCCGCGCAGGCCTCCTGGATCCTCTTCACCACCATCGTGTCCAGCTTAGCCAGCTGCGTCATGAGCTCTCCCTCCATCTCTGCTTTCGGGGGGGTGAGTCCCGTCGGTTGCGGGTTGGCGGGACGAGAATACAGCACATTCGTTAGTGCTGTGATGTTTACTTCGTACATCATTTACTGTTCAAGTTTTTTTCTTGTTCGTCATCTCATTTATTCTGACGTCGATACTTGCGGTTGCGGGTGTGTGGGACGAGAACACAGCATTTTCGTTAGTCCTGTGATACTTACCAGTACTCTGTGATATTTACCAGTACTCTTTATTATTTTCTGTCATGAATTTCATTGTCATACCATTTTTTCTCGACGTCCATACGGTTGGGGGCGGGCGGGAAAATCTGCAACAGGCGTGACTCACCCTCAGGCTCCGCGGAGACATCATCCCCCATGACTAGGCCATGGTCGAGGTTGAACTTTCTTTGCTTAGCCCTCGCCTCCATCGCCGGGAAGGACTTGTCGAACTTGGACATCTCCTCGCCGTCCTGGGACTGGGCGCAGATGGCCGTCAGGGGCACCGCTGAATCGCGCGCGAGCAGCAGCAGGATCATCATCATCATCAGGATCATCAGGACCAGCAGGACCAGCAGGACCAGCAGGATCAGCAGGATCAGCAGCAGCAGGATCAGCAGGATCAGCAGCAGCAGCAGCAGCAGTAGGACCACCATCATCATCATCATCATCATCATCATCATCAGCAGCAGCAGCAGCCAACAACGAAGACTGCGAAAGCCATGTGCAAATTACTGCCGTGAAATAGAAATGTGCTCCTGGTATGCATACATACGTTTCTTGTTTCTGACGTAAGCAGACACGAATTGGTCTCTAGCCATGAGAAAAGGGCCAAGATATGAAGGGCATCACGCGGATGGACTGACGGCGAGCGGCACCGCCATTTCACCCACACGCGGTGCCCAGACCAACGGAAGCGTCGTCAGACATGAAATCAGAGAGAGAGCGAAACATTCACACACAAAGGCACGCGGGAAGAGGAGACAACACACCCAGCGCTACGAAGCCTTTAAATAAAGGAGTGTACAGAAAACGGGAAAAAAAAACACCCGCATGCGTGCCACAGACATCGCTGGAAGAGGAGTTATCAACGACGAGGAGGTGTAAACGCCCCCCCTCTCGAGAATCATAGCGCCACGTGCCGGCAGTCGCTCCGTCGGAAGAAGCACTACACATAATTACGGTGCTTTACATCGGAATAAAGAACCGCAAATGGTGGCGGTTTTCTAGTATCTATCGCGTCAATGACCTCCCTCTCCGGAGTCGGGGCACCGTGAGCCGGGTGCTGTTCTTCTGTTTCTGTTGTTGCGGCCGCGCACACGCGCGCGGGTACGTAGAAACACAGGTACAATAGCACTCCGCTAACGCTATGACTTCACTGCTAATTAATCCTACAGTAGACCTTTGTCTATGGATAGAGATGGATTAGTTTTTGCTATATTTCGAAAAAAAACAAACGGTGCAGAGCCTTCTGCTAACAGGGGAGAAATCGCTGTATTCTGCTCGGGAAATGGTGCAAACACAGGTAGCTTCCGCTGACGCTATGGATATCATTGATAATCTATCTAAACTCTTTTTCTACGGATAGAGATGGACTACCGTAGTTGTGTTAGTATAACAACAACAAAAAGAAAGCCGGCGCCGCCGCCGTTACCTGTAATGACGGGGCGAGGGTAGGCGGCGGGGTGTTCCTCTCCGTCCTTAAGGGTGGCCGCGAGAAGCTTGCCGGACACCACCCCCACCGGCCAGAAGCGGTACCTCTTGCTCTTGGACACCTTGAGGGTGTCCAGGAGGGGCGTCCACTGCCACCCGAAGGACTGCGAAGTTGGGGACGCGGGGGAGCACAATTCGGAGGGTAGGACGGAGTGAGTTTTGGTGTCGGTGGTGTTGGTGGTGGTGCTCTTCTTGGTGGTGTCTCTGGTGGTATGCTGTTCTGTTTTTTGTCGTTGATGTTGCTGTATGCTGTCTTGTCCTGTTGCGGCTACAGTAGTAAATCTGTTTGATTCTGTTGCATAAAATCGTTCCGGTCTCTGCTCGGTACCTTCCCAACACCCGTAACGGTCCGACTGACGCGGGCGCCTCCCGTGGTCACAGGCAAACTACCCCGAGAAGGGCAGAACACACGAACAACTAACGTAAAAAAGCATGGTTGAATACATGTGAGGGGAAAGGAGAGTGTGGAAATCAAGAATCGTAAATATTTAGGAGAGTGAAAAGTGGAGTGCGATCGATTGTTCTTGGCGCCGAATCACTGCGAGGTCAGGCACTCGGGTGAGGGTCAATGCGCGAGGCAAGAGAATATTGCGAAAACAAGGAGTACTGTTATAGGTTAGAAGAGTAAAATGAAGTTGGAGAGTGATTAGTTCTTGGAGCCGAACTACTGCGAGGTCGGAAAGTCGGATGGCACTAGGGGTGACCGTGCGAGGCGACAGACCGTGCGAGGCGACAGAGAAGGGAGAGTGAAACAAACAAGTGCATGGTTGACGTCGAGGGAAGTGAAATACCGTTCAAGCGCGATGATTTCTAGGACCCTCGAGAGTTTTTCACATGAGAGAAGAGCCGTACGGCGGTCGCTAGTGAAGGAGTGAATGTGAAGCTGGGTTGGTCGCGATAGCGCGCCAAAACCAGCCCACCAATAACAAGGCGTTTGGAGGAGTGAAATATGAAATGGGGAACCCAAGAAAATGGACCCTGAAATGCTGCTGCTGCGGGTATTTCGAAAGCCTCGAGAGTGAATGTTCCACGTCTTGATCGCAAACAGTCCTAGGGATTAAAGTTCAAGTTCGCTACTGGTGGGGGTGCAGCAAGGGGCACCACGAGATCGTCATCGAAGGACCACACGGAAACGAGAAATCACCCCGACATGTAAGGTACTGTCAGCGTATAATGGATTACGTCCAGTCCGCGTCATTCCCTACACCAATCACAAGGCAAGATCCACAAAACAACAAGTAGGACACTTCCGATGTCTACTCCGTTGCACCCAGACCTTTAGCCGCCAACCTGGGTCAGCACCGACGCAAGAAAAAATCCCAAAAATCAATATTTTATTGTACCACCAAGGTATATCGCGAATCTTGGGTGTATCCGGCACGTTGCCGCCGAGCTGTATCGCAAAATTAAATTTGGGGTATCGGGCACGTCACAGACAGCCATCAGTGATGGGTGACATATCGCTACACTGCTACACAGGCGACTTACTCTCGTCAGCGCCTACACAGACGACTCACTCTCGTCAGCGCCGACACCAGACCGGCCGAGTCCATGGCCATCACCATCCCCTCCTCGCTCGACCCCAGCCAGGTCAGCTCCGACCCCGGCGACAGGCAGAGCCCTCCCTTGGACAACTCGCGCTTTCCTCCGACGTCCAGCAGCTTGTACCCCAGGTTCTGGCCGTCGCCTATCGGTTCTCCCTGTCACGTCGTGGTGAAGAGCAAGAGGGTTGTGGTTGAGACAGAAGGGGCATGGGTTGTGAAACGGAGATGGAGTCTTGTTGGTGTGGCAAGATGGAAGGGGTTGCTGTCGAGGGACGGAAGGGCGCTGTTGTGGTGAAACGGAAGGCGCTGCTGTTAGGGGACGCGAGAGGTTCTGGTTGCGAGACGGAAGACGTTGTTGTGGGGAAACAAAAGGCGTTGCTATTGCGAAAAGGGGAATGCGTCAGTATGGTGAGACAGCAGGCGTTGTTGTTGTGAGGCGGGAGAACTTCTGGTTGAGAGACGGAAGGCGCTGTCGTGAGAGGGAAGGCGTTGTTGTCGTAAACCGGAAGGGGTGGTTGAGAGGCCCGCGTTGGTTTCGGCGGGTTACAGCAAGGCAAGCCTTTGATCCAAAAAGTGTTGTACCAGGCGATGGGTTTTGTGGGGCAGATACCGCCTGTGACGACGGAACGACTCAGTTGGACCCGTGAACGGATGTTCCAAGGTGCTAAGCAGAGAGTGGGGAAGCGCGTTATTGAATAAGGCAACCACGAACCGTTCTGAAACATGACGATATCCTTTGTCGTCTGTCGTCGTAAAAAAAAGTCACGTTCTGGATCATCGGTGTTTCGAACGTGAAAATGTCAGGCATGTGGTGCATTCACGCTGATATTGGGCTGTACGTACGAATGCGATATGATACGGGAGGTGATGCACATGTGGGTGTTGATGTTGTTGTTGTTGTCTTCACACCAAAAAACCGTTCCGATCTCTCTACCCAGCCCTACCTTCATCTATCCGTACTGATCAAACCGCACAAAAACGCCAAAAAAAGAGGGGAGATAATGATGTACCGTAGATCGTTCACCTTGTGGAACGCCACCATCAGGACATCGCCGCTGCCGACCATCGACACCACGGGCCCCGGAAGCATGATAGTCTCCCCCTAAGCATTAAGCATTGTGAAGGAAGGGGACGACGACGACCGCGACCGAGATGCGAAGCGAAGATTGAGCGCGTATGCACGCCATGGGAACGTACAGCGAGGAAATGGGAGAAGGAGGCGTTTGTACGGTCCATCTGACAGAAGGACCAAAACCAAATGTTCAAATCTCTTTTTCTATGTGCAGTAGACATAGATGGTCGGAGCAGACACAGATGGTCAATGTGGAGTAGATATAGATGGCTTCGTATTAGAGGTCTTTGTTTTGTCTCTGAGAGAAAAGAAAAAAAAAAACGCACAGCAACAACATGGGAGATAGATGCTATTCGTACGGTCTGTGGACTTTGTAGCCAAACGCCCTGGAGCATTCGGAGCGCGCACACGAAGCATACAAAGAGCGATGAAAAATATCACGGCACCAAGACTTGCGTCCTTGCGATAGTCAGCCGGGTAGAGCAGTCAACGCGTTGAAGGGGTCCCGGCACACGCCCGACCACCACTTATCGTCAACCCTTTACGCCCACGAAATACGTGGTTTCTCCCTCTCGCACAGTAGAAAAAGGAGGTGAAGAGAATCAATACTATTTACCTGCAGTCCGATAGCGGCCGCCCCCCACAAAATGCAACATCTCCCTCTCTACCGACCCCTGGTTGAACGAGGACTAGACAAGAAATCAACACTGCAATAAATCTGCAAAATACGGGGTACCTGCAGTCCGCTAGCCGAGAAGAGCCTGACCAGCTGGCGATTCGTCGCCGCCGCCACCCATCCCCTCCCAACCGCCACCGACACCACGCTCTCCTTCGCGGGCATCATGCGCGTCCAGCTGGGACGCAGGCACGCACGCGCACGACAACAAAAAAAACTGTGGGCATGTCTCGAGCGGGCACTCTCTCTCTGTGGTGTTGTAAAAAACTAGGCCGTGGTGGGGGAGAAGGCTTTTCTTGGGGCAGGCGATTTCCGATGCTCCTGTTGGCGATGGGTGTACCGCAAAAAGGTAGGAATGCAAGAGGCGGAACCGAGCCAGAGTGAAGTACAGTGTGGGACGTGGGACTGTGGCCGTCTGTCAAGAAGATGTGGCTTGGAATGGGCCCAATGGTGGTTGTTGTGTGTGTTTGGGGACGAGCAGAGAGCGGGAGGGGGGGGGGGGTTCAGGAAACAGAACACCACCATTTACCGACAATCAACGCTCCCTATGAATGGTCCCCTCTCTCCCTCCACCGCTCCCTCTCTCTCGCTCTCGCACAGCCATGGAGACACAATCCCACAAGTGTACCCACAATGCCCCTGACAACGGCGCCTTCCTCCCTCTCTCTCACTTTCTCTGTCTGTCTCTTTCTCTTCGTCTGTCTCTCTCTCTCCCTCTCTCTCTCTCTCTCTCTTTCTCTCTCTCTCTCTCGCT